TGCTTAGTCATGGTGTACAATCTTGGTGATTTGCCTCATTCTGTTTGACAGTATCTTATTGAAGATATTTGTGTCCAATTTTCATGAGGGAGATAAGCATGTACTTCTCTTCCCTGGTTGATTCGTTCTCTCATTTGGTATCAGCTAATTCTTGCCTGCAGGAATCAATTTGGGAGTACTGCTTCTCTTCAATGTCCATAAAGAGTTTGAGAAGGAGCGGCATTAGGCCTTCTTTATATTTCTTGTAGAATTCTTGTGTGAATCTTTGAGAACCTGGGATTTCATTTACTAGTAGGTTTTAAATTACATCTGCAGTTTCATTGATGGGTATTAATTTATTTGGAATTTTAAAAATTCCTTGGTGCAGCTTTGGCAATTCATATGGATCAAAAATCTGTCCATGGGGGCTGGTGAGATGGCTCAGTGGTCTAAAGCACCTACTTAGAACAAGCTTATCAAAGCACAGGGACCGTGGTTCAATCCCCCAGCACCACATGCCAGCCAGCCCTGCCCCCTGGTGGGCTGAGTTGGCCACACACACACACACACACACACACACACACACTCACACACACACAGAGATAAATAATTTTTTTAAAAAATCTGTCCATTTCTTCTGTTTCTGATCTTATCAGAATACAGGTTCTGAAGATGGTTGTTGAGGGCCCCTGATCTGGAGATGGGCAGGGGCTCATAGTAAGTGAACCTCTGTGAGTCCCTCATCCCAGCTGAGGCCTGCAGTGGTGGGTAAAGCCTTGAAGCCTCACAGGAGAAGACAAGGCCACAGCTAAGGACGCCTGCTCCAAGCTCCATTAACTAGACAAGGACTGTAGCTGCAGACATCTCAGTCCTGTGGGGAAGCCCTTCCTGGAGGTAACATAGTTCTCCTAAGTGGACATGACGGATTAATGGAGAAATTACTGAGTGGACTTCCTGGTCCGTGAATGGTCCTGCTCAGATGTCCACGCTCTTTGGTATTCTCCTCTTTTGATAATTAAATAGATACTGTCCACCCAGAGGATGCCTTTGTCTTAACCTCTGCCAAATCTCAAAATCTGTGAAAGGGTTTATCATCCTGGAGCCTTAAAATCATACCACTTAACTTATTTGTTTGTATTTAGCACAGGGTCTACAGGGTCTATAGGGCCTCAGTATGTAGATCTGACTTTTCGTGTTCTGCCTGTGTTCAGCCTCCCAAAAGCTGGGATTACAGGTGCCAACGTCCCAGTCTCAATGGCATCTCAGCCAGCTGGGGGCGTACGCATAGCAGGCATTGAACCTGGCTGCTGCGCTCTGCCTAAGCAGGTGCTTCAGTCTGCTGAGCTATCTGGCTGGCCCTTAACTCTTTTATTTTAGTGTTCTCTGTACACTCATTTGGGAGGTTGTGGGCCTAATCAGTGTGCATTCACTGAGGGATAATATTAATGCATTTATTTATCAGCTTTTTTTTGAGAAATGGTCTGACTGTAGTGCAGGCCAGTCTTGAATTCAAGGCCATTCCCGTGCCTCCTAGTTGGGCATCCCCTGAACTGCTACACATAGAAATTTGTATATTTCTTTTTAAATTTATTAAGCAAACAGTGAATGTAGGAGACATTGTTTCTCCTGAACAGGGTACAGCATATTAAATATTTTATTGATAAATCATTTTCCTGCTAAGTGCACACGGTACAGTGGGAACCTCCTGAGAAAACAGGAAGAGAACAGGTGACAGGTATGACGTGCCCAAAAACAGAAAAACAAACCATACATGCTGTCAGGGTAAGCTAGGCATATACAAGGAACATGCTGTCATGCATGGCAAAGATTACATCAGTGTTAACGTTTTCAATTTTTATTATATTGCACATAGAAATTATTTCTACTCTTGTTTAGATTTTGTAAGCAGGCCCAGGGATGATGTTGAAAATTGTGTTTCTTGACAACAGTACATTAAAATGTAATCTTATGTTACTTCCGCGGTGAATGTCACGTGCACGACCTTGGGATCTGCAAAGCTGATCCCCTATGGAAGATGCCTGTGGAATATTTAACTCTTTTAAGAGCTTTACAAGAAAGGAGGAGAAAGAAAAAGAAAAAGGAAACCAGGAAAGAAGCAAAGAAAGAAAAAGAAAAGAAATCGCCTGGCAGGGCTCAAGGAAGTCCTGGCAAACATTCCCATGAAGAAACTACCTAGCAACAAAACTAGCACTTTGTTCTAATGCTTGGCTTTCCAGCGGGGGAAGCTCACTCACTCTGGTCAGCAGCTGGACTCTCGTCTATGGTGCATGTCTTATTCTGGCAGTGGAGGTTGCTATCTCCAGGAGGCCAATCCTGCTAGTGAAGCACACAGCTATGGTCGTGGAAAGTGTCTCTACCCAGCCACCTCCTCCATGCAGGAAGCGCCACACCTGCTATGTTCTACTTGGCCTTGTCAGTAGGAAGCTCCCACGTTTCATAAGCAACAAGCGAAATAAAAAGACAAGAACCGACAAAAACTTGTGAGTATAAACATACGCAAATTTTATCTCAAGAGGCACCGGAAAAGTTCATGTATGTTACACTCTCCACGCAACTGGGTGACTTAAAAATACTGAATATTAAAGTCTAATCTCACATTAAACCACAAAACAGAGGAAAGCGCAAACACAGTCCCCCACTACTACAAATTCTGCAAGCCAATTTCTCGCATTTGGGAAAATCGCAGGAGTCAGCACATCCGGAGTGCAATGGATAAGCCTAGTCCTGGGAAAACCACCTTCGTAATCATGGTATCTCCCCTGCCAGGTAAGTATGACTACAGCTGCGCCATCCCCTACAAAGCCTCCTGCGTGCCTCACTCTTCACTCAGGCTCATTTGCCTTCACGCACTCTCGGGTCCTCCTAGCCCGTCCACGCAGCAGATGCGCCCAGCTGCCAAAATCCTCCCTACAATATCTCCCTGGTCACAGGAAAATCATTAGGTTTCAAAACCAGGGCTCCAACCAGCACCCCTGCGCTGCCTTATCTGCATAAGACCCGCCATCTCGTGACGTCACATGATGGCCTGCCCTGAAGCCAACGCCCCGCCCCTATGCTGTCCATCCCCGCCCACTCACGCTGGAACTGCCCAGGGGGCAGTGACAAAGCCTCTCTGCATTTCTCTTGGTCCCTCAACCAAGTGGGGACTGGGTTCGCTGATCCCCGCCTGGCCTCTCCCAGCTGCGAGGTCCCTACCCACGCTGTCAGGGGGAAGGCCCCTTGGGCGCCTCCTGAGCTCTGGGTGCCCTTCTGCAGGTAAAGGCTGTAACGCATGGAGCAGAGCTTTTTTGCTTTTTTAACCCATAATTTTATTAACAAATGCATAGCAATGAGACAGTTTCAAATGAAATTGGGAGGACAATTCCAATAATCAACACATTGCGTACTGTCTTCCTAGTGGTTCTTTGCTATACAAGATGAAGAGATGGTATCCTATTAACAAACAGTATGAGAACAAATCCCTCTCTTCATTGACTTAAGAGAACGTAGCTATACATCTATCCTAACCATTTTCAATACACAGATACAAAATAGTTATTCATCTGTATCCCCTTTTTTGTTTAGTTCTGTCATTTAAATACTATAGGTATGTGAACTCACCAAATATTCCAAAACAGTACAGTAGTCCATAATAGTATTGGGTCTCCCCCTTGATGGGCAATGTCCGAAGTTGTTGACCTGAGTCCTCCACACCTCAACATAACAACATGGCTTTACTTCTTGTACTTCGTTTTTATACGTTTCAGCTGGATGGGTAAGACTAAGATGAAGCAAGACCTATGTAACAACAAATGTAGCTTTTGGATCTGATAAGGTCAGTCAAATCCACTCAGGATTTATCCTGCGACCCTGTACCTCAGATTGTAGATCCCTTGGCAGTGTCAGCTATGTGGATGAGTCACAGCCATTGCTTGGCCAATTTGCTCTCTGTGAAAGCCTGAGAGGATGTTTTTTCTCCACATGACTCTCCTTAGGCACACTACATCATCGATCACTTTCCTCTGTGGCCCCATAATCTCCTTGATCAAAAATGTTGGGACACAACTGAGTTACATGATGTTACAGTACAAGTTCTCATATGTCCTAAGTCTTAATTGACCTTGGAAGGCTAGGGACAAAATGTAGGCTTTCCTTGTTGCCCTCCTTTTTCTCTAATATTTGGTCTGCAAACTTAGGTTGTTAACCCTCCAGAAGAGCAGCTTATTGTAATTATTATTCAATCGAGGCTGTTGAGCTCAACCTCACTATCTGTCTGAATATCAAACATCTTAGGCACAACATGGAACAGGTATTTTTCATCAAGTATTGATATGTTAAATTTTAACTCCGTACAGAATATGATGAAAAATTTTTTAAAATTTCAATATATTAAGAAAATATGAATAAAGAATTATACATGTTTACACATAAGCCCAGAAATCTAACCATATACAACATTGCAGCAGGGCAGTCCCACGAAACTCCTTTTCCCATCTCCTGCTTTCATGCACCCCCCCCCCCATCATTTTTAAACAGTCATCTACCAGAGACACAGCATGGCAGCAACTGGCATGTCATGACAAGCAGCCCGTATTCAGAAGACCAAAATGACGGCACTCCAAGCAAAGGTCTGCTCTCTAGAATTTATAAAGAACTAAAAAACACTAAGGCCCCCAAATTTAAAGACCTAGTCCAGAAATGGACATTCAAGATGAACACACACTTCTCAGATTGAAAATGTAGGTGGAAATCTTGAAGTCATGAGGTAAGGAGAGATCTCATGAACAAAAATCCAACTGCAAAGGTAATATTTCAAAGAATCAACAATTAGGATCTCATCATTTATAAAAGTTTCTGCATGTGAAAGAAAGTCACCAACACAGTAAAATGAAAATCTACAAACTGGGAAAAATTTTAGCCAACTGTCCCTCAGACAAAGGACATCTCTGTAGAATATTTAAACATTTAAAAAGCAAATCAGGATCCCAAAATTCAAAGACTCAATCTAAAAATGGGCAACAGGTGTGAATATACTCTTCCCAAATGAAAAAATATAAATGACACATACATATATGAAAAAATGTTTAACATCATTGGTCATTCCTGAAATGCAAATTAAAACAACACTGAGATTCCATCGCACCCCAGAAACAATGGCTATCATCAAAAGTCAAGAAGTAACAAACACTGGAGGAGGTTTATGGAAACCACAACAATTTTCTAGGGTTGGAGGGAGTGTACACTGGCACAACCACTATGGAAATCAGTATGGAGATTCCTCAAAAAGTTAGGATTGGAGGTCCCTTTCAAACCAACAATTCCCCTTGTGCATATGATTCCAAAAGAACTGAAAACATACCACAGTGATACACAAACACCCATGTTTATTACAGTGCAATTTGTCATATCTAAATCTTGGAAACAACCCAAATGTTCAACTGAGGAATGGATAAAAAAATGCAATATTTTTTACACAATGAAGTATTGCTCAGTTATAAAAAATATTAACTCGAGGCTTTCATAAGTAAGTGGATGTAACTAGTGGATGTAACATTTTCTTAAGTGAAATAAGTTAGATATACAAACATCAGATTGTCTTTGTAGTATAAGAAATGGAAAGATTAAAGAAAATCTGAACTATACAATAGATGCTGTGAAAGGAAAGAATCTGTTCAACAGGAAGGAACACTGGCATGTGGGAATGGAGAAAAGAAGGAAAGTGAAAGATTTGTGCATATACACAGGATAGCTTGGTAATTGTCCTGCTGACATTTGCTGCTCCATCAAAAGGTTGAGTTAATGCTTATTTTTTTCTGTGTCGTGATTAATATTTTATAATGTGTTGACCAATCTTACAGGCTTGTATCTGGGATTCTAAAGAATTAATTTGAGCACAACAATATGCAGTATAATTGTTGAATTTCTATCATTTTGTTTAGTGAAATTCTATATCATCTCTAGTGTTGTTTACTATTGCTTTGTATTTTCTTAATAGATAGATAGATATAAAGCTTTATTTTCTGAGAAGGCAGCAACATAGCAAATAACCATTGATTTAAAAATGCATAACCCTGGCTAAAGTTAATCTTGTGGCTTTTTGTAAAACTTTAAAATGAAGCAATGTGGTTATCATGGTTGCTTGTAAATGTATGCAAACCCACTACTAAGCCCAGCTGAGGTCAACACTCCTCAATTGGCTATTGTAGAATACTGTACCCTGTGGGGGAATACAACTTGCTTGTTCCCATCCGCAGCCCCTGTCAGGGTCTCTTGTTGCATCTGCCATCACAGGCTCTCATTGATTACTTCTATCAGATTGAGATCAAGACCATCTATTCCAATACTCTTTTTTTTTTTCAAAGTTTTATTGACAAAGAGATAGCAATGAGACAGTTTCAAATCAAATCAGAAGGACAGTTTCAACAAATAATACACTGCATATATTCTTCTTAGTGGTTAATTGCTGTACAAGATGCGGACTTCTGATCCTATTCACAAACACCATTA